CTGGGCATTATTAACGGTATCAAGGAGAGTCACCTTGCTTAGTCGGTTTCCGACGTGACACCCTCTGTTTTCGACGGATAACAAATGGGTCTACTCGAGTTTTCCATTTCAGCCCTGAGGACGACTCTAAGTTTGCACTATCCACCACTATCAAGACAATAGCAGCTGGAGTGCCCTCCCACCCCTGGTGCCCGTCCAGCATGCTACGTTGCACTAGTTATCTCATTAACTGCACATTCAATCGCATTGTCGTTATTGAAGAGACATACAAGAACAGTCTTAAATTTCTCTGTAACAAAGATGCCTAGCCTTTCGGTCAAGGCTGCGTTGTGGCAGGGTGTTATTGTTACTATTTCCTCCGCTGGGGTTCACCCGAAAGAACATCACCGGCCTCGTGTTTCTCATACGCCAAGCCTCCGAAGCAACCATTGAAAGAACGCCAGCGCGTTAGTATGAACGGCTTCAGGTGCAAGAACCGTCTCTCCCGCTTGGAGGCCGCTTTTCTTGTCTTGGCCTAGCATGGTTTCCCCGCAAAAGTGGCCATGGGTGGTTCACCACATCTCCCACCGCGTTGCTGGAACGGAGTTTCGAAACGTAATAGATCATCAGTACACTTGGAACCTAGCACCGCTCTTGTCGCTTACGTTCCTGGATTCTCAGTAGTCCAACGACCTGTCTACTTCAGCCAAAGATTCAGACGCCGAGTGGCGAGCTATTTGTGGGCATAACGACACAGCTGGCCTATATCAATACAGCATTTTGTTTGAGCATCCTTCGAACGCACGTGAAAAGCTTCGCAGCAGTGAGCCCGCCTACAGACCTGTTGACCAATTGCGGGGTTGTTAGGCTGCAATGCAGTCTTGTATTCAAGCTTGCTTCAACAGCATGGGCCTTCATATTGCGAGGCAATGAATTAGCCATGTCACGCTCCGGGCATTAGCAAGTATTACATACCCGTTTTGGGCCCCCGTGGGTATCACCTCCATCGGTGCACAAAAGTTCCTAGGTTGGGGGGGTGTACGCCGCTACACTGACGATCGCAACGTCGCTGATAGGAGGCGCTTGCGGTGAGCAAGTGACTGGTTATTGCATAGCTATCTTTGCTGTCAGACGCTCTCAAAAGCTCTGAAACGGCATCCAGGCCCGGGGACAAGAATACTTGTTTGCGAACGAGCAGGCCATGTTTGGCATCTGTTGTACCTTGACCGCCAAAAATCATCGCGAATCTCTCGTCACACGCGCCAACTGATCCAGCGCCACTGTTTTTTGTAATCTTGATCTTCCAAAAGGGGCGTTATTTTCGAAGGCCTGGTCTGACCACAAAATAAAAAGCAATGCCTAGAGCCAGTGGCTCGTCTAAGCCACCACCGAAACCTTGCTACTTCATAGCCGAACATGCCCATCACTGATTCTGCTCTACGAAATGGATAGCCTCTAGCCAATTCCGGCGCTAGACAAGTGCCGCTGAACTACGTACAATGGTGCTCATCTCTAGGATCGAGCATGGTACTTCCATTAGCTTGGGCCGTTTTGCAAGACGAGAGCTCGATTGTTCTAGTGTCTTGCGACACTCAATGTTGGCTGACCGCTATCCTTCAGTGCTAAATGAGTTCCGTGTGGTATCTGTCCCCGATACGGTACGTATTGAAACAGAAACTGCACAAATCCGGATGCGCTCTCCTCCCAGGCGAGGTCTAGGGTCAGTAATGATAGGTCATGTTGTTGCTCTCTCAAGTACTGCTGGCATGTTTTAAACAGTGCGGCCTTTCTTCCAAAACGATTCTGGAAGAAGTTTCGGCACATGAAGGGAATCGCTTCAAAGGCCTTTTCCCCTTTGCAGCCACCCCCGAAAGCCACGAGGGCGTTCTCTCTGCGCAAATGAGCTAGCTGCCAAGATCTATTAGGATAAGCAGCAATCATTTGTCTCACTGCCTCGAACGATGTGGGCGAAGTGGAACTGCAAGTGTGGTCGCATTGCAGATTTCATCAACCACATCGGGAAGGTAGGGGACCTTGTTCGCTAGCCAATGGCGTAACTCGGATTTCTGAAGCGAGCGACTGTGTCTCTGGGGCGAAACAAATGGAAAATGGCCGTGTTTTTGTTTTGGTTTTATTACGGCAACAGCTGTGTGGTCTCGAGATATTTCTCAAGCAGGAGCTTGCTGCCGTTGGTCGAAGGACACAGAATAGAGCATGCCGCTGGTAAGGCATTGGTCTCTGATATCTGTCGTGGCACACATGATATTGCAACCGTCTAGAGGGGTCTATCAAGCTACGGTCGAAATTTACTTGTGCATGGCAACAGACACATGATTCACTCTCCACTCCGATGCTGCATGCAGAATTTGCGGGAGTGGCCACCAAAAGGGACGCCGGGAAGCCAAGCTCCCTTCCTGGATGGGCAGGAAGCTGCATAGTTCATGCCGGGAGCTATGCCTGCAGCGGGCAATAATCTCTACTGCACAAATGCGTCTCGTCTGAAGCTCCCCGTTGCTGTGTTAGGCCTTTACGCGACAATCGCTTGCCGAAACGGGGCTTCGTTTCAGAGGTCGATGCACATATGGAATATTGCCAACTTTCGGCAATTATCCTAGCAGTCAACCTGCCGAAGCTTGTCGATGTGAAGAATAGGAGTCGAGCCTGGGTCGCTGTCCAACATTTCAACAAGGTCATGTTGCAGAGGCAGCTGCCAGTGGCAAAAGCTTGCGACTTGCAAAAGTGCCTGTATCGTTGCAGTCTTATCTTTTTCTTTGTTTTCACGCTATCAAACTTGTTTAGAGAAATGGTCATTTCTCAATATTCTGCCCCCTTTTCCAGCCATCGACGCTCAACACCACAATCCGTCGGCCAAATCACGTCTACACAGGCTGGCCACCCGACGGTGCGGCACTGCGGATCACTGCACCCCAGGTTTTTGGCGTCATCGTTGCTCCCAATTCTACTTTGCCGCTGCTCGTTTGCTCTGCAGTGATACCTGTAAGGTAATGCTGGACCCCAATAAAAGGTGGCATGGGTATACTCTTGTCGTGATATTGCAGACTACGCCGACAAGTCCTCCTCTAGAAGTAATGTTTTTCCTTATCGGGTTTCCTTACCAAGCTTCCTAATCCGTACTTCGACCGAGCCCCTACATTATACCCTTGCTTTCACATTGCCAGACTTGCAAAGTTGACCATTTTTTTTTTCTCTCTTTTTAGTTGTTTGCCTTGCGGCCCAACTACTCACACGGTAAGGGCGTGTCTGGCGACGATGGACCAATTTGCTTTTCCGTCCTATCTGGCCACGGTCTAGAAGCTCTCAACAAGAAAAGTTGGCAAGATTACCGTCTACATTGTGTGATTGATGCAGGTCCATCTAAATTTCACACCTCAAGAATCTCGACATGGTCCTTCATCCCCCACATCCCGTTTCGCTCTTCTTTTTACATCTGAACCAATGAGACATTTTAGTAGATGACCAGGGAAAATTCCGCGATGACGTGCTTTTACTATTCCGCCCTCTGGCCCTTTCTTCGCGCGCCCGTTTACATGCGGATGGCAGCGGAGGGAGGAAAGGGGAAAGGCATGCCACAACCGGGAGCCCGCCTTTGTTCTCCTTGACCCGGGAAAGTGTTCCGCGCCTGCATGGCTTGGCGTACATGCCAACAACTACACACACACTCAAATACACACAGCCTGGTTTCTTTTTGGTAGCAGGCACGGTAGGGAATTTTGTCTGTCCAGAATGCAAACTTATTGCTGGTAGTAGTACTTTCTTTCCAAAAAGATGGCGCCCGTATGAAATTAATGACGTAATACTAATGGCAAGGAAGGAATATGCTATTGCCACTTGACACTACTTTACTCCCTTGAGAGTAATCCGCACAAGGGCGTGTGCTTGCTTTTACCCCGGATTCTGCGAGGAGGGCCACACACACACACACATGTGGCTGCGTGTCTCGCCGCCACGTGCGCAGGGATGCCAAGGTCTCGGGGACAATTTCTTTCTCCCTCTGAGCGGACGGGGAAATTCATTTTGATCTTTGCTTGACGAAAGTGCAAGAAAAAGCCTATCCTGATGAATAGGTAGGGAAAACTCGTGGCGCCGCAAAGTGTGTATTGCCCTTTATTTTTTTTTTTAGAGCGGGCGCGGGCAACTAGGTCCCGACACAACCACCTAAATTTAGCCTCCCCACGGGTTTGAAATATGACGAATTTTCAATTTGTGTTTGTCGCCTTTTGTCTATTTCCGCTTCTACCCTCGTTTTACTGGCATAACGCTGCGGTTGTTTTTCTCCGTGGATTGTGTGTGTGTGTGTGTTGGTTGGGCGAAGGCGCGCAGTTTTGCCCCAGATGGTACAGGGTACAAAGTATGGCCAAGACTTTGCCATGAACGCTGATCACGAAAAAAAGAACCAGTCACCGAAAAAAAACCGGGTGAGAGGATTTTTCCTTGTGAGTGCGTTTGTTGAATCTGTGTAAAGTTGAAGCTCCTTAGATCTGTGCGAGTGATAATACGTGCTGTTAGTTGAGTTATGCTTCATTGTCCGTGGAATCATTCGCTGCGTCACGATACGCTGTGTGTTGCGTCTCACTGGATGCAACCACATGCAGTCAGCCCTGTTCCCCCACGGAATGATATCGAAAGAGTCGATGCCAAGTGGTACAGGGTGACCAGCTACCTTGACCAAGCAGAAAATGGTTATAGACATCACAGTTTGACTCTACAGGATGCAAAATGAAACTAAATACTGTTGTGATTCACTGCCTGATATAAATTATATATACGAGCGAGCTCTGACCGGAGCAATCTTTCTCACTTTCTCAAAAATGTCCTCTGCTCTTCGTGAAGCAAGGAGATGCTCTCCAAGTCATGCAATTATGCAAAGGCCCGAGGACACTCATTCCCAATACCCAACAAGATTGCCAACGCTGCAATATCAGAATATTAAGATTTAACGCATTCTCGTGAAGCCAACAAATTTCCAATTCTATACGCAAACAAAGAAAAGACATCCCGCTTTAGATGACAGCAACGAGAGCGGCAACAACGGCAGCAAGACCGGAGACGTAAAGACCGGCGGCGCCGGCGACGACCGGAGGCTGGCTAGCAATCGGGGCACCGGTGCTAGAGGGCTTGACGGAAGCCAGGGTCGAGGGCTTGACGGGAGCAGCGGGTTTGCTCTGTGTAGCGACGGGCTTGGGAGCGGGCGTAGAAGGAGGCTGGGCAGGAGCAGCGGGAGTGCTCTGCGCAGGAACTTGCTCCTTGGTCTCAACGGGATGGGGATTCACAGCGACGGGAACGACACCAGCGGGCGCGGCAGGAGTCTGGGCAGGCTTAGCGGCGGGCTGCTTGGGGTGACAATCGACGCAGCCGGGAATGGGCGTAGGCGTGGCCATGGGGGTAATGGGAACGATAGTGGCAGGGTGCGAGGTGATAATCTCCTCGCCCTCGGCGCAGCCGGACTGACCCTTGGTGCAGTAGTAGGTCTTGGGAATGACAAAGGTTAGGGTGACCTCGGGACAAGGGGGCTTGGTGTACGCGCTGGGGCTGCTGATGCCGCTGTTGGTAGGGTTGGGCTGGCTCTCCGTGCTGATCGGCTTAGGCTGAGTCTCCCCAGGGTACCAGGTGGTGTACGAGGTGATGACCTCGCTGGTGACCTTGCCGATAGGACAATTGGTGACGGTGGGAGCGCACGAGGTGATGGTATGAGTGCGGGTAGTCGTGACGATGGAGGTGTACGTCGTGTTACCAGGGCGGGTAGTGGCAATAGAACCAGTGGTCTGAGGAACGGAAGTGGCAGAATCAATGATCGTAGATGTCGTGAACCAATCAGTGGTAGACGTGGACAGATCAGTGGTGGACGATGTAGTCGACGACTCTGTACTTGACTGTGTAGTAGATGATTCCGTGGTAGACGTAGACGGATCGGTGGTAGACGACGTAGTAGACGAACCAGTAGTAGTCGACGACTTCGTGGTGGACGTAGACGGATCAGTGGTGGACGTAGACGGATCAGTGGTGGACGATGTAGTCGATGAACTAGTAGTAGTAGTAGACGACTCCGTGGTAGACGTAGACGGATCCGTGGTAGACGACGTAGTCGACGAGTCAGTGGTAGACGATCGAGTGGTAGACGAGGTAGTAGACGATTCGCTGGTAGATGACGTGGTAGACGACGTTGTGGAAGGATCAGTGCTAGACGACGTGGT